TTAAAGTTGAGCAGATGCTTTTTTTTTTTTTTTTTTTTTTTTTTTTTTTTTATAAATAGTATCTTTGATAGAAAATTAGACTATTTCTAACCTGCTTTTTTCTAATTTAGCATTAAGCAGTTATTTTTTTTAAAGAGGCTTGGTAAATGCTATTATACATTTTAGGAACTAATTGTAAAAGTGGGGATGAATTAAACCACTATTCTTGGATCATCTTTATTACACAGCATTTTAAATAGTGCATCTACTTTTTCTGGAATGGAATATTGCCCTAACCCCTTCATGCAACCACAAGGGTTTCTTTCATTTTAAATGAGCTTAGATGAAGCTTGAATCTATAGAAGGGGATTATAAAATGGCAATTTAATCTTAACCTAAAAATTAACCTTAACTCTTTGCTCGTCTCTGTCCTATCCCATATGGACTGTGGGGATGGACTCAAGACTGCTGTGTGAACCTGAATCCCAGAAAGGCTGGAGTGCATGGCCTAAAAAGGTCTAACATCCTTAGGTTCCTCATTCTGAACTGTCAAGTAGAAATATATGGCATAACATCGGCAGTAACTAAATTTAATGTGGATGAAACAGCCCTAACCAACCCCCACCCCTAAACAACAGAAGCTTGGCTTGTATTTGAATCACGTCCATACTTATTAATTGAAACTGCTCTAACCCAACCAAAAGGGGTTTGGTGATTATTCAGATCATTTTAATGTCAGATCATCTATTGGATCTTTTCAACCATAGGCTTCGATGATAAGCATTTCTTATTTGCTTTATTCGATGCGCAGTAGGAAAGTCTCAGTGCATGTAGTCATTGGTTTAATTCTCTCCTGGATCAGAGCGAGATATGTGCTACCAAATACAGTGCTGCGTGGAATAAACTTGCGTCAGTCAGGCAAATTAAAGGTCTTATATGCTCAGGATGTCAATCAAATTATTAAACTCACCATTAAGAGAATCTCTACATCCAGATTAATTTTTCATAAACTTTAGCTGCTCTTGTGTGAGGTGTGCATCAGTGTCTGACTGCCACAGCATGGGCTACGTGACCATGCACAGGTTGTGCTGAAGCATACTTGTGTGCTTGATGCAGAAGTATAAATACGCCTGTAGGAGTGCTGTTTCTGTGCTATGAGATTCTCTACATCCAGATTAATTTTCCATAAACTTTAGCTACTTTTTAACTCATGCTGAATCGTTTTCTAAATGGAACTGCTCCATTTTGTTGCAAAACTGGGCCAGGCAGCACTAATGCGGTTTTTTTCCACTCATGCTGCAACAGCTCTTTGAAACATTATACAACCAATCCGTAGTTGCCTTTAATGCAATGTAAACCGCTC